AAACTAAACTAAACTAAACTAAACTAAACTATTCTATTCTATTCTATTCTTATTCCAATTCCAATTCCAATTCCTATTCTCTTCTCTTCTGTCCTCTCCTCTCCTCTTCTTTCATATTTCAATCAAGGGGGGGGAGGAGTAAAAATGAAATCGATACAATGTTTTTTTTTATTGCAACCATGATGAAGATTGCAAATTTATCCCTTGCCATTTTTCATTTTTCTCAAAAGTGATGCAGGAGAAGATATTTATGCTTAGCAATAAATATCTGAGAGAAGAACTGAATCTATTCTTAAGTATTAATTGTGTCAGAATTTCCCAGCCAAGGCTGATGGTTCAGTAAGGGGAGGAAGGAAGTGTTTGCAAGTAAGGAACTGATGAGGTTTTTGTCTCACTTCTGCATGTGAGTTTATCACTGTGATACCTCCAGTTGCTGCCACTGCCGTAACCACCACCACAATAGTAATCGGCCTCATCCTCAGCCTGGAGGTTTGTAATGGTTAAATAGGCTGCATTCTCCGAGGTGTCCTTGGACCCCGTGAATCGACCGTTGCTGTTCCTATCAGCGAGAAGGTATTTGGGGCTCTCTCCAGCCTTCTGTTGGTACCAATAGATGCCATAGCTGCCTATTTGGCTATCTCGGCTCATGGTACATGAGATCTTTGCTGGTTGTCCCAGGGGAAACGATTGTGCCTCAGGTTGAGTCAAGGTATACTGTGAATTGGCTCCTGAAAATAAAAAAGGGAAGATAATGAAGGTGGGCACCCTGTAGATCCACTCTTGGTGTATCTTTGGAAGAGCTTCTCTGATTGAAATCCAGACATCATCGAATTTCAATTCATTGGAAGGCATGGAAGGGGTGGCTTTTATATCAGGCTGAAACCATAGTTACACCATGAAGCTGATGCTCTCCAAATCATCAGATGAATCCAGAGCTGAGAATTCTCCCTAAATTACCTGGGCACCATAAGAAGAAGAAGGCCAATAGCAGAGACCAGGCCATGATGAAGAGTTGATCTTTTGGGGAAACTCAGATTGGGGGACTGCTATGGTCCCTTTAAACACCCAAGAATTTGAGTCCTCCCTCTTTTATGCAAATTCAGCTTGCATCTCATTAGCTGGGTTTGGATAAGAAGAATTGCACTGGAAGGCAAGAGATGGATTCCTGCTTCTTTTTCACCTCTCGTTTCATTCCTCTCACTTGGATACTAGAAACACTTGAGAGGTCATGTTACAGTTACGTGGTTGGTCTAAGGTCCAACTCTTTCTTTCCTCATGTATGATGGACCTTTCTGAATATCTGCTGATATCAGATCTCTCCCAATCTTGTTACTT